CAGAGGTTGTTTGGTTTCCCCAATGTATAAATCCTGGGAATACTCCTGGCACTTGACAGCATACACTACTTTACTCTGTTTCTGTCCACCCCAATCTTTGGGGTGGACCAATTTTTGGTGAAGCGTGTTTTGGGGTTTAAAAGGTTTAAAAGCCACAGAGACACGGTGTTTAGAAAAAATGCATCTCAGCTGTTGTCCTTCTCTCTTGGATCGACTTTCTTTAGGTGCCTTCTCAGCTTTGACAAATGTCCAGCTGGGATAACCACATTTGATCAGGGCCTTCTTGATGTGATGTTTTTCTGTTTCCCTGGCCTCTGTGTCTGTGGGGGTGGTATTCGCTCTAATTAGTATTAGGACGCATAATCCTTATGCGTAGGTTTACGGTACACATCAGCTTTTAGATATCCCCCGTTAGTGATGGAAATCTCACGGTCTAAGAAGGCTAACCTGCTACTTTTCATATCCTCCCTGGTGAATTTGATGTGTTGGTCCACCGAGTTAATGTGATCCGTGAATTGTGGTACATCCTGAGATTTGATTTTCACCCAGGTGTCATCCACATATGTGAACCAATGACTTCATGGTTCACGTATGTGGGTAGGATAGCAAAGGGTACATCTTTCGCCATCTTACAATGCTGTGATTGTAGCCATTCCTCAACTCTCTCTGAATGGTACTCATGGTCTTTGATTAGTGGCCTTTGACCAGTGAGCTTTGATCAGTCATCTTTGATCAATGGTCATGAGAATTTCCATATTAAATGGTAAAATGGTAAATGGCCTGCATTTGTATAGCACTTTACTTAATCCCTAAGGGCCACAAAGCACTTTACACTACATTCAGTCATTCACACTGGTGATGGGAAGCTACATTATAACCACAGCTGCCCTGGGGCGCACTGACAGAGGCGAGGCTGCCAGAAAGTGAAGAGGTGAAGTGTCTTAGCCACAGCCACCCTGGGGCGGACTGACAGAACACTGCCACCACCAGTAGGCAACGGGTGAAGTGTCTTGCCCAATGACACAACGACCGAGACTGTTCGAGCCAGGGCTCGAACCGGCAACCTTCCGATTACAAGCCGAACTCCCAACTCTTGAGCTACGATTGCTGCTCCTGTCCAAAAAAGCACGTTACCAAAAAGAAATGTTTGACTGCAGCAGCAG